CGCATGACAACAAATATGGTCTCTTTATTTCCCCCTCAAAATGCACCAGATTGATGCATTTAACCTCCAAAATAAAAATAAAAATCTTACCGGGGGAGCATGAACCCAGACCCCTCTAGAGGATTTGAGGTCCACCCCCACTTAAAATCACATGAATAGGTTCCTAAATACATTTACCATTTAAAAAAAAAAGAGTAACCCATGTCCATATGTTTAATTGTGGGTAGTAGATTTAAACTATAGGGCTATCACTATGGGCCCTGCCTGTACCTGTTCGCTCTGCCATGGCGTGAAGGGTCTGCTAACAAAATGACCAACAGAAAGGTTAATGTCAATGTTGTTGCACGTCACAAAGGGGCGTCACCTCAAACGGTAAGGAGGAGGACTTTATAGGTTATGCAGGACTTGACCGGCAGCCAGTGGAGGTGGATGAGGGTGGGAGTGATGTGCTGCCACGGCTTTGTGTGCGTCAGTACCCTAGCAGTACAGTTGTGAACATACTGGAGCCTGTCCAGGGGTTTTGTTGGGGACTCCAAACAGGACACCATTGCAGTAGTCCAAGCGGGAGGTGACAAAAGCGTTGACTAAGGTTTCTGCAACAGACTCCGAGAGTGACGGTCGGAGTCTGGCAATGTTCTTTAAATGGAAATTTAGAAATGGAAATTTGGTGACAGACTTGATGTGGGAGTGGAAGGAAAGGGTGGAGTCAAAGATGACACCCAGGTTGCGGACTTCAGGAGATGGGGAGATGGACCAGCCGTCAACCTCAAAGATGAAGTCACCTTCTGAAGCAGCGCCTTGGGGGCCATAACCATGAGCTCTGTTTTCCTTAGTTACTCATCCCCTGCCCTCACAAACACTGTCGCATATCGCCTAATATGCCCTCTGTGTTCTGGCCCAGATTGTGCTTTCTGTTCCCTCTGTAAAAGTGACCTTGGGTTTATGAAATGCACTATATGAAATAAGTAATTATTACTAAAGTCAATCTTTTTACTTTATCATTTATTTGGATTGTGATTCCATTGAGAGCAATTTGGACTTCAGTAGCTTGCCCAAGGACACAATGACATCTTTACTGGGGAGACTGGGGTTGGAACTACTGACCGACTAATTAATGGATGACCCTATCTTGTAATACCCTCTGGTTTCAGGTGCTCACCTGCTTTCTGGTGCTCAAAGTGGTGTTTGACGTGGTAGGCCTTCAGGCCATACATATAGGAGCCCTTCTTTGGCGACCCGTAGTGAAGGTAGTAGTGGATCATATCGTACACCACGTAGCCGCACAGTCCTCCTACAAACACGGAGGTCCCCAGGATCTGCGGGAGCGTGCTGAGGAGGATTAGATAGAAGCTTCCCACCACTAAGGAGGCCAGGCCGGGGGGGAAGACCAGCCGAGCGCCGTCGAACGGAGACTGTGGAGACAGATATTATGAGGTGAGAAAAATTGCCAAAGTCAGCCCATTTTTCAATAAAGATGATGCTGAAAAAACTCATTCATGTGTTCATTTTAAGTAGGATGGACTATTAGCTCTTTTTACAGGTCTACCAAAACAGTCAATCTAAAAACTCCAGCTAATTCAGCACCACCTGTGTCATCCACAGGCACAATTGGACTTCAACACCCATGCAGATGACATTGTACATAATAGTTGTTGTCAAATGAATACACTCAATAGGTGCACTTTTTGAACAAAAGCTAGATGGCCGAGAAAGTAAAAAAAAAAAAACCCTTCTGGGGTCATTTGGGTGCATTTTCCATATCTCTGGCCCCCGTCGGTCGATTTTGATGATTGACACCTCTTTTTAACCGTTAGAGCCAATAGAATCGAGGGGAGGTTCCTAAAGTTCCTATTAACACACCTTTTGATCAGAACACAGCAACGGTAAGATTTATTTTCCGATTTGGTCCTGTAAAGCTACTTTTTTTTGGATTGTTTGTTGTCATTTCGCCGCGAGTTCTGATCGCTCAGTGATTATACTAATACGTCTGGAATCTGTGGAATCTCTGCTTGCTAATCAATATCTTGTTTGTGCAGATACGGTAAGTAATAAGGGTATTTTAACGTGAGTTCTGTGCTAAGTGTGTTAGCATTTTTTCGCTCAGGGCTAATTCAGAGCCTTTGTTATTACCCTTGTTTCGTTTTGCTAAAAATGGTTAATATTGTCTGATAGCTGAGTTTCTTCCCGTTAAGTTAAGTGGATATGACACATTCATAGTTTATTAAATGTTAGGAAGCCCTCAGACGCTGTTTCTTGCAAAATGTTGCGTGTTGCCCCCGCCCGCGGGGTTGTGGGGTTTAACTGGTTAATTAAACATTAACCAGCCATGGTAATAAAGTTGTGCAATCTCCTTTCCTACAGCGCTAGTGGCTCCCATTAAGATTATTACAGATGTTTTATTTTAAAATTGCAGTTGCTAGCTTACCAAAACTATTTTTAAAAGTATTTAACGCAATTTTTGCTTCTCTTCTTTCAAACCCGGTAAACTTTTGAATTGATTTAAGATATTAATGATAACTTTTAAGGCCGGCAGCTACACCTCAGATCTCGGCAAGGTCCTCAGCTACCAATTCTGCGATCTACGTTGAGGACTGGTTGCTTTCAATCCTATTTAAATCCGGAAAATACATTTCATTATTGTTTGTCTGCCATTTATTGTTGACTTCAAAAAGGACTTTGAAACTTTGTGTTTTTGCTATATGAATAACGTTTATTAGTGCCATTTGTTTTTCAGCTTTACAAAACCACAAAAGAAAGTTTGTTTTAAGAGAATCATAAATGACAAATGGCCAATTTTAACTACTGATAACAGTACATGTGCACTCAGATCAAAGTAAAATAAAAAAGTAAAATTGAAACTACTCTATGGAGATTGGGAAACAGTTGTCAGAAACAGAAAAAGATATTCCTTTATTGTGCCATAAAGTACTAAATGTTGATTAATGATTAAACCAGTTTCATGCTCATGCGACCTGCTCGTCCCTGTGTGTGTGTGTGTGTGTGTGTGTGTGTGTGTGTGTGTCAAACTGTGA